GAGTGTGCGAAGCTGTGAGTATGACGCCAGTGGTGCAGTGGAGTATGAAGAAGCTAGAAACGTGGATCATGAGGAAAACCACAAGGGGACAGCACAGCTGGCCCGGGAGAGAAGCCATGGGGGCTATAACCACCAGCAGTGTCAAAGGGACAGAGCTACGCAAGCCCTTCAGGGTTCACAATTTTTGCCGCAGATTACCAGGAATGCTGGAAGTAGAACTGCAGGGTTTAAAGTTCACCCTACTGGATTTTGGACTTGCTTTGATCCCATCCCTTTGTGTCCCCCTGTGTGTAACTTTTGGAAGGAAAATGTCTCTCTTGTGCCACTCAATGTTGGCAGTGTTTCACTTTCCTTTTGTTTGTACAGGGGCTTGAAGCTAAGAGTTTGCTTTAAATCTCAGAGGAGACAGGACTTGGATTTTTCAGCAATTCTGAAACTTTTAGGACGTTGGCAACTCTTAGAGATGGAATAAATGCCTTTTGCATGACAGAATGTGCCTGAGTCTCTGGGGAGTCAGGGTCGGAATGTTGTGGTTTATATCTAAATGCCCCCATGAAGTCTCACGTGGTCATGGGTGTGGCTTTCTGTGGATCTACAGTTGTGACACTGGGATGGATGCATGGCGCAGTGCTAGGCTCAAGGGCGCTAGGACTAATGGTGTGAGCGCTGCCTGCCCTAAGTAGCTTAGCTCAGATAAAAGGGCCAGAGAGACACTGTTCAGGGCCCATGCTTGTTGCTGTCGCTGTCTCCTGCCACTATCAGCTGTTACGCCTGAGCCTCGCCACCTTCCTTTGGAGCCAGCCCATTATGGACTGAAACTTCTACTAACTGTGAGCTAAATAAACATTTCCTCCTTTAACGTTGGGTCCTGGGTACTTTGTCTCACCAGTGAGAAAAGCAAGACAGACCTGCTGTCCCTCACCCATGCCTGGCAGCCAGCCGGTCTCAGACTTCGTGGCTTCCTACAGCAGCGTGTTATTTCCCACGACTCCTTGGCCAGCCGGCAGGTTCTTGGCTGGAGTCTTCCTGCTGGTACTGTGCAGCCCTGGTCACCGGTGCTGTAGCAGGGCTGGTGCTCCAGGTGACTGCATTCCCAGGTCTGGAACAGCAGCCAGCATGCCCAGAAAGGGAGCCCCTCTACTCACCCTTGGCTTCTCCGGGGCCCTAGGGGCTGGGACAGAAACTCCACAGCTTCTGAAAAGCTAGAGTGCAGATCACACAGCCTCACCTCTCACAGTCTGTGGGCCAGAGCAGGCTGCAGGGCAGCCCAGACATGGAAGACAGAGAAACAGACTCCGCTCTGCAGGACAAGCTGCAAAGTATTTGCCCCCATCTTAATCCACTTTAGCTAGTATACTGGAAATACAGTGTAGCCCTGTTTATAATGTTTTTCTGTTTATGATTCATCTGTGCCCTGACTTGCCAGGATTCTTCCAAGGGCCATAAACAAATTGGCTTAAGGGAGGAGAGAACAAAAGAATGTATTGGCTTCATTTAATGGGAAAAGGTACTCACCGGGATCAGGCCTGGCTGGATCCAGGAGCTTTGATGATGTCACCAGAATCCTGCCTGCTGCTGGTTGCTCCTCTGTCTCTCTAGCTGGCTTCTTCCTCCTGTGCAGGGAAGATTCTTGGGTCAGGAAAGATGATGGCAGACAAACTCAGCTCTCTACATGTAAAGTGTATGACCCCAAAGAAAGTAAGATACATTGCCTCTTGCAATCTGTATATGGAATCTCTGCCCAGCCTGGGTTGACCAGTCTAGATGACATGGCCCGCGGAGGTGGGACAGGCAGGATCAGGGCATGTGGCTGACACATCTGTGGAGGGCAGGTGGAAGGGGTGGGAAACCCCCTAGGAAAGGCAGCGATCCCCACCAGGAAGACAGAAGCCGCAGCTCTAAGTCTTCTCTGTAAGCCAGTGCCCAGCCAGGGCTCGGCACGCCATAGGCTCCCACTAAGTGTGTGCTGGATGGATAATGAAGAAACACTTTGTTACAGCTTGTGTCTAGATGTCCCCCCAAAGCTTCATGCACTTTTAGGTGGGGCTCTTTTGGAGAGAGCTGAACCTAGAGTTTGTGATTGATTCATCATTCAATGCTAGGATTTCAAGGCTGGAATTCAGGGCCAAGTACTTGCTGGACCGGTCCACTGACTGGATCAGCACGGCCTGATTCCAGCAGTCTGGGTAAAATAAAAAGGACAGAAAAGGGCTTGCCTCCCCCTTGAGCTCTTGCTGCTTTGCTACCTTCTGGCTACTGGGATGGGTTCTCGCTTGTTGCTTTTGCCGTCTTCTGCCACCATGAACCTCCCCTCTGCCACATGCCCTCTACCATGTGCCAGCTGCCTCGGAGCCAGCAGATTATGGACTGAAACCCCTACAGACTGCGAGCTAAACAAATCTTTAGCCCTCCAACTTTGGGTATTTTTTTTCAAAGTTTTATTGATAAACAGATAGCAATGAGACAGTTTCAAATCAAATTGGAAGTACAGTTTCAACAAATAA